TTTAGTCCCTCAATTTTTTCTATCTCTCACTCAATCAAACAGTCGAGGATATTAGGTTCTAAAATCTGATTCTAACTCTCATGTGGCCTTTCCCGGTGTATGATTCTACCATAGGACCTTAACAAAGGAAATTTTCTCGGTGCGGAGTACTCTGCTCTTTCGGTCCACAATACTAACCGGTACTTCCTTATATGACAGATCCTTCTAGAGTAAAAAAGGTTCGTGGACCAAGACATGAGAGGGGTTTGGGTTGTACTTGCATAGCATGGACACATGAAATACATTATGAACTCTAGAAAGTTTTGGAGGCAGTGCCAGTCTGTAGGCGGCGGTGCCAATTCGATTTAAGATTTCAAATGTTCTAATAAACTGGGGGGTTTAGTTTCTCCTTCTTGCCAAACCTACTGATTTCCTTGAGAAAAGTGACCTTAAGGAATATCCGATCACCTTTCTCAAATTCTAAATCTCTCATTCGGGTATCTGCATAACTCTTCTGTTTGCTTTGAGCTGTCTGAATATTCTTCCTAATCTTAACTATTTTGGCTGTAGTCTCCTCTATAAGATCTGTGTCGAACAGTTTTCTATCACCCACTTCTTTTCAACATATCATCAATCTGTATGGGTGGCCATACAACGGCTCAGACGGAGCATGTCAATACTTGTTTGGTAGCTATTGTTATAGGCGAACTCTATCAGGGGGTAGATGATCATCCCAATGGCCCCCGAAGTTAAGAAGACAAACTCGGAGTATATCCTCAAGTATCCAGATCGTCCTTTCTGACTGTCCATCGATTTAAGGGTGAAATGCAGTACTAAGGGACAGTTTCGTTCCCATAACTTGCTGAAAACTAGACCGAAATCGAGAAATGAACTTGGAGTCCCTATTAGACACTACTATCACTGACACTCCATGTAATCTGACTATCTCCCAAATATACATTCTTCCTAGTTTATTCAAGGGGTCAGTCATCCTGATGGCAGAAGTGGGAAGACTTGGTAAGTCAGTCAACAATTACCCAAATGGTATCATGTCCTAAGCGTGCCCTAGGCAATCCTATCACGAAATCCATTATAATATGTTTCCACTTCTACTCCGGAATTAATAATGGCTAAAGTAGCCCGCCTGAGCGTTGATGCTATGTCTTGACCTACTGACATACCAAACACTTAGAAACAAAGTCAGTCACATCTCTTTTCATCTCGTTCTACCAAAATCGGGATCACATACTTTGATACATCTTAGTGCTTCCGGGATGCTTGGCAAACTTTGAGTTATAGACCTCTATCATGATTTTTTTTTTCAACTCACTATCACCTGGAATATACACCATGTCCTGAAATATAAGTAACCCATCGGTAGAAATTGAAAATTCTAAATTAACTCCCTATTCTACATCTTTCTTGAGAATTGCTAGGGTTGAATCGGCGGACTAAGCTTTCTTTATTCTCTAGATTAACTCAGGTTGAATGATCAAGAGGGCCAAACATATAACTCTCTTCAGGTCCTGAAGTCGTATCTGTTGTGCGGCCCCTATTACCCTACATTCTGAAACCATCAAGTGAGCTAATATACCTGTACTTTTTCTGCTGAATGCATCGGCTACCACGTTGCCCTTATCCGGATGATATAACAAGTTGTAATCATAGTCCTTGAGGAGTTCTATCCATCTTCTCTGACGCATGTTGAGATCCTTTTAAGTGAATATGTGTTTCAAGTTCTTATGATCGGTATAGATATGAAAGGTCTCCCCATATAAGTAATTGCGTCAAGTCTTCAAGGCGTGAATAATTGCAGTAAGTTCTAAGTCATGGATATGGTAATTTTTCTCATGACTCTTCAACTGTCTGGACCCATAGGCTATGACCTTCTCATACTGCATCAGAACACAACTCAAATCTAGGTAGGAGGCATCACTATAAACTGCATATCCACCCGATCCGCTCGGCAAGGCCAACACAAGTGTAGTAGTCAACCATTTCTTTAGTTTTGAAAAATTTCTTTCACAGTTCTCATTCCACTCAAACTTGATGTTCTCGTTCCACTCAACTTGACATTCTTCTTTGTGAGTCGAGTCAGAGGAGTAGTTATGTTAGAAATCGTTCCACAAATCTGTGATAATAA